AATATATTTGGGGTGAAGTTTTGATTTATTTATTCATCGCTTTTCTTAGGAACAAGCAAAGGTTTAGCTTGAGGGAGTTTGATGAGTCTATTTTATATGTATTTTTATTCCCTGTCCCACGGTCATATTTGTGCTTATTAGAGCTCTTCGGAGCTATTTTTATTACTAATATGCGTTTTCTTGTGTTTTTGTACAGTTGGTATTATTTTGTAGGAAATTGCAAATTATGATAATTCACGAGCTTATTGAGCCACTACGAAACATTAAAGTCATATCGTATTTTATGACCGTATATTTAAAGCCTCAGAGTGAGTTAAACAAATTTAATTCGGTGATTAAAGGGATCGATATATGAAAAGGTCCAAGATTTTACTAGCTATTATTACTAACCAACCAAAGAAGGAAATTGCGTCAAAGCTTGAGAAGACCAATCCCAAAAGAGCAGCCCAAGCAAGCCACGAGTCCTGCTGGGCGTGATGTATGCTGGGCCCAATCAATCGAAGCACCATTCTGGGCTGAAAGAGTACGAGTGATTATTGGGCTGATAATGAGACTTTGATTAGTTTTGTATTGACAGCTTTTTCACTAATATTAATTTGGCTAGGATTCTTTTTCTTAGTTCACTTTTAATAGGTTTTCTTTTTCCTTCTTATAAAACGAAGGAGTAGTAGCTCTTTACGGAGATTTTTTTAAGGTTAGCTTTTCTTTAGTTTAGTTTTTACTTACGAGTTATGTCAGAACTTTAGTTTTATTCTTATTTTCTTTGTTTTTATTTTGTTTAGTTTAGTATTCGTTAACGTTAGTTTTTAGTTTAGCTTGAATTATTACTAGATGGAAGCCCATGCGATGCACGGTTTTTTCATCTAAGATTTTTAATTATTTGATTTATTGTATTTAATAATTTCAAACAAAATTACAAAAGTTTAATTTTTTTTTAACTATAAATTATAAAAATTTATTAAATATAAATAAATTGTAAATATGATATTTTTTCCGTTATATAAAATCTTTAATGTAAAATGATAAATTTTTAATAATTTAAATTTACCATATCTTTTATTTCGATAGAATCACCAACCTTGTCCACAATCAACCTACTACATCAATGGATAAATTGAACCGTGAAATGTTAACCAAATTGAAATTGATATAAATTAAATCTTTATATAAAAAAAAATCAATATATTTACCAATAAATGAAAAATTGTTGCGATATAAAATCAGATTTATGCATTGGAAGTTTTTTCATCATCTCCAAAAATAACCAAAGTCATCCATATATTAAATATACAACATCTAATCCTATGTCATTACATAAACAAATAATCGTTAAGTATCCTAAATAAATACAATGTAACTAATAATTACAAATATAAATTTAAACATAAGATTTTAAAAATTATCCGAACATTAATGACCTAAAACTGACACAAAATTACTAACACAAAATTCACTTGATGGGGTTTTGTATTGATACGAAATTTTATTTGTGTCATATGATGTGTTAGATCTGCATGTAAAAAAAACATTTAGCAAATAAAACATAAACATATAATCGTTAAGTATCCCAAATTAATACAATGTAAGTAATAATTAGAAATACTAATTTAAACATAGGATTTTAAAAATTAAGCTAAAAATTACCAGGCCATTGATGACCAAAAATTAAAACAAAATTACTAACACAAAATCGCTTGATGGGGTTTTTTATTGATACGAAATTTTGTTTGTGTCGTATGATGTGTCAATTTAAAATGGTAGGTATCACAAATTTTAATTTAATTATAATTAACGAACAATTTGTATTTCTTATCATAAATACTATCAAAATTTATCTTATAATGATAGCTATCAAACTTTATTAAGCGTTTATCATTTTAATATTTTTTAGCATATTTTTTTTGGATTTCTTATATTCGTAGTATTGAATTAATAAATTTACCTTTTCTTATATTTTTACTTTATTTTTTTTCATTAAAATAATTTAATTCGTGGATTATAATCTAAGTGTCATTAAAATTTTAAATATATCAAATCTAATTCGTTACTTTTATCTAGGTGGCGACATAATTTTTTAATTCAAAAATAAAATACAAATCTTTCTTCTTATTGGTCGAATGCTCCCCAAAAATGCCTACTTTATATATATATATATATATATATATATATATATATATATATATATATATATATATATATATATATTAGTTTGTTTTTATATTAGTTTTAAAATTCTTGTTTTTATTAGGCTAAATTAGAAAATAACACCTGTTAAAAGACCTAATTTTGTTTTTAACACCTTAAGATTTCGAAGTTTAATTATAACACCTGTTAAAAAATAAAAATTTTGCTTTCACCACCAGATAACAGAAACTGTGACGGAATTTTTTGGTGGGGCCCACATAGTCGTTTACCCTCCAAATTCCACCCCCTTCAATTCGAATTTATCTTCTCTGTCACCACCATATGTTTGATTTTGTTGATTAAAGTATTGCGGTTGACTGTGTAATGGGGTTAGCTATGTTGGGTTTTATTGATTTGCTTTGCATTTGTTTATTAGGTAGAAAAATGGCCGACAACGAAGATGGATTAATTGATATAGTATTTAGAGTAGGGGGTGCTTTTGTTACTAAACAAGTGTCAAAATCAAAGCATTTGCTTTGTTGGTGTGGTGGGTTATGTTATTGGAGGAGGGATGTGGTAGTGGATAAGATAGATTTGCATTATTTGAGGGTAGCTGCTGTGCATGGGTTTGTGAACTTTAATGTCCATGTCCCACCTAACTACAGACTTTGGTATAAAGAAAGAGGTAGGACCTTTAACACAGGGAGAAGGGAGTTAGTAAATGAAGAGGAAGTGAAGGGGCTGCTGGAGACAGTGAATGGGGAAGGGTATGTTGAAGTATTTGTGACTGCTAATGAAACATTAAGGCCCATACATGAGATCCAGGCCCAGTCCACTCCAGTAAAGGCTGAGAGAAAGGGGAAGAAAAGTTCAGGTAAGCCTGCTGTAGTTAGGAAGAACCCAAGAATTAACAAAAATGAGCCTAAGGTGAGGGAGGGTGAAGAATCTCCTAAACCTAGATCTAGACAGGGGATAGAAAGGGTTGAAGGGGTTTCTGCTGAGATTAAGGGGGTTCCTGGTAAAGGGAAGTTGTTGAGTAAGGGGAAACAAAAGGGTAAAGCTAAGCTTGAAAGGGGTTTTGGCAGTGTGAAGGTGTTGGATAAGGGAAAGGGAAAAAAAATCTGTAGGCAAAGGATTGATTTTTGAGGATAGTAGTGAGGGCAGTGAGACTGGGAGGGAAGATGATTTTTCTTCAAGTGATGGGAGTGAGATTGACATAACTTGGGATCCTGGAGAGGAGGAGTATGACAGTGGGGATGAGAGGTGGTTTGTGCAGAATTCTGAAGAAATTTTAGCTAAGGTAACAAGAAGTCTTGGGAAGCAGTTTGATGTACATGATGAGGGGGTTTCCAAGGATCCAAAGGCAAGGTTGACAGATAACTTGGATGTGAATGAGGTACAACTACAAGAAGAAATTGAGGGAGAATCAGATGACCTAAGGAGCTTGGATGGTTCATCTGATGAAGAGGACAAAAGTCCATGGTTTAATGACAAATCTGACTTCTCAAAGCCTGTTGTACTTGTTCATAGGCTTAGGTTTAGCAATGCTACAGTGTTGAGGAAAGCTTTAAGAGTGCATGCCATACAGAATAGGTATGAGTACTATTTTTTACACAATGATAGTACTAGGATTACTATTCAGTGTAGGAATAGGTGTGGGTGCAAGTTTGACACAAAGACAAGTAGGATGCCTTTGTGTATATGCAGGGGTGGAGTGAAGTGTAGTTTCAAGATCCATGCTACTAAGTTAAAAAGACAACAGACTTGGCAAATAAAAACCATGAAGTTGGAGCATAAATGTGTGAGAAGCAGGGAGAACAAGAAGGTCACAGCAGAGTTCATTGCTGAGAGGTATCTTGAGGAGTTCAGAACTAACCCATCATGGAAGGTTAAGCAAATCAAGGATAGGGTGCTTCATGACTTGGGGGTAGAAGTGACCTACTACAGGGCTTGGATGGCAAGATGTAGAGCTAAGTTGATCATTTTTGGTTCAGCAGGAGAGCAATATGCTAGGGTATGGGATTATGGGAAGGCTATAATGAAATACAACCCTGGGTCTGGTTGTAATGTTGTGATTGATGGCATTGAAAAGCCTGAGCCTCCCTTGTTTATGAGGATGTTTATTTGTTTAAGGCCTTTGAAGGATGGGTTCTTGAAGGGTTGTAGGCCAATTATAGGGGTGGATGGCTGCCACTTGAAAGGAGGTTATCCAGGCCAGATTTTAGTTGCAGTCTCCAAGGATGGGAACAACAACATTTACCCCATTGCTTGGGCAACTTGTGAGGTTGAAAACAGGGAGACTTGGGTCTGGTTTCTGGAATCCTTGATGCAATGCATTGGAAGTGCAGATGGGGCAGGCTTCACCTTCATGTCAGACAGGCAGAAGGTAATATTGTTTTGATTATTGTAGTCTTATTTTCTGTCCTGTTCTTTATTGTTTGAAGTGTGACAAGTAATTGTTGATGATGTTAAACAGGGACTGGTTGAAGCTCTGTCTGAAGTTGTGCCTAATGCAGAGACTAGGTTCTGTGTTAGGCACATTTGGGCAAATTTCAAGTTGAAGTTCACTGGATCAGTTTTCAAAGAGCTCTTTTGGAGTGCTGCAAGAGCAACAACATTTGTAAGTCTCTAGGTGACCTTAAATTATTTTGAATAAGTAAATGCATGATATTGTTCCTGTTCATGTACCTACTTCATGTAATAATGTTCTTGTTGTGTATAAAAGCAAAATAAGAGCAACAACAGTTGTGTATGTTATTCTTTCATGATAATGTTCCTGTTGTGGTTGTAGGTTGAGTTTCAGATAGCCATGCAACAGATTAGGGAGCTTGATGAGGATGCTTACAATTATTTGGAGAACATCCCCACTCATCACTGCTGCAGACATGCATTCAGTGACAGTTGCAGGTCCAACATGTTACTAAACAACATGTGTGAGACTTTCAACTCTGTTATCAGAGATGCAAGAGACAAACCTATCCTCACCCAAATGGAATGGATGAGGAGGTACATGATGAGGAGAAATAATGAGAAGTGGGAGGACTCCAAGGAAATCACAACCAACATCACTCCATATGTGCATAAGCTATTTCAGAGGATGAGCTATGTGGCTAGGAATTGCATAATTGAAGCTGCCAGGGATGACACTTATGAAGTGCAGCTGAATTATTACCAGGTTCTAGTTGACTTGCCAAATTGGTCTTGTTCCTGCAATCACTGGCAATTAACAGGCATCCCATGTATTCATGCATTTGCATGCATAATGGATCAGAGGGTTGATGCTGAGCAGTTTGTCCACCCCTATTACACTATGGACACTTACAGAGCAGCATATGAGCCTGCAATTCAACCTATGCCAGGCCCAAAGCATTGGGAGAGAGTGAACATGAGAGAGCCTCGTCCACCAGCATTCAAACAGCAGCCTGGAAGACCTAAACAGAAGAAGAGGAAGCTGGAACCTGGGGAGGGAACATCTGCAACAGGAGGGGAGCAGGGAAGAAAGAGGAGGAAAAGTCAGTGTAGGATTTGTGGTGGATTTGGCCACTATCCCAAGAATTGCAAGGGCCCACATGAACCTGAACCAACTGAGCAGAGAACTGCAGGAATGCCTCCTTTAAATTCACCTTGGGTAGTTGAGCAAAGGAAGAAGAGGGAGATCAAAGCTGCTAAGAAGGTATGCTGTTGGATTTGTAACTTTTCTTTTAAAATTTGTGATGAAATTGGATGTTGATACTTGTTTATTGGTATTTGTGTTTAATAAACAGAGTGCAATAGGGGCTGGTCCAAACAGCATTTGGAATAAGACTTTTCCCCAAGAGCAACCTGGCTGTGAACCATTGAATAAGAGGAAAGGTTCACACAGACAACAAGGGCAGCCACAAGCCAAGCATCACACCACCCCCTCTTCCAGCCAACCTGAACCCAATGATACTGGAGTGCAGACAAGGAGGGCTAAGCTGCTGACTTCCAGACAAGGAGGGCTGACACAATGATGTTTGAATTGTTTTTCTGAACTTTAGTTGTTGGTTGTATTTTCTGAACAATCAGTTGCAATATTTGTAGCTTTACTTTTGGGTTTAGGACAAGGATCCTGTTTTGTTAAATTAATACTTTGCTTTAAGGCTTTACCAGCCAATTTTGTTAGGCACTGCAACAACAAATTTGATCAACAACTTAAATGCAATATCAACTACTTAGGTACTTACTTAATTCATTGCTTTCATAATTGTGTACATTAGTTTGCTTGCAATAGTGGTTCACTGCCACTTATAAATCATTACATTACCATATTACTGTTTCATGCAATTACTAGCATTACAAGTTATACTTAATGCATTACAAACCCCCTAATAAGAAGGATCACTAATATGACCAAACTAATCCCAACAGCAAGACTAAGAACAGAGTGATCTGATCTAGCATTCCTTCCATGCATCTCTCTGTTCATCTTGTTCCTGTCAGAGTTTAAAGCCTTGCATTTCATTTTCAGCCTGTCCACTTCATTAAGCAAACACCTCAACTGTCCACCAAGATCATCAACTTCCCTCTTGTAATCACTAATTTCCCCCTTCAACAGTTTCTTATCTAACAACAAATTGTTGATCACCTCTGTTTTCCAGGCTGTCCCATCTTGTTCATCCACCCATTCAAATGCTTTACAACCTCTGCTCTCAGTTACAGGATCGTAGAACTTGCATGTTCTGAACTTACGACCAGGGTTCTCCCTTGTCCAACTGGTAAGCTTTGCAAAGGGAACACCACATTTGCACTTCTTCTCCTTTGAAGGTGAGAAACTTGTAGAAGACATTTCCTGCACCAATTTTCCATCCATAATAAGCAAAACCATTCGTACTATGAAAAAAATACAATTGAACCAAGGGAATTAAACAATCACTCCTACAAATCAAAACCCCCAAATTATTTCTACAATGAACCCTAATTTCATTTTCTCGCAAATTACAGCACAATTAACACACAATGAACCCTAACTATTTACGAATTACATGACTATTGCCAGATACGACCTGAATTATGCATTTAAGTCAACAACATATAGATTAATTTACGCCTTATTTTTGAAAGATAAATTAGGGTTTCTAAAGTGCTATTGACGCAATTACCTGATTTGATATCTACGTCCCCCAAACAATGATGGTAAAATCAAACAATTTCGCCAATTTGTTAGTCAGAATTCGCAAAATGTGAAGCAATTTTGTGTAATCAGCTCAACAATTCTACATTAGTGAAGGATGTCGTAACTATATAAAGCAGTTTGGAAAAAATAGCCGTTATTGTGGGCCCAGCTAACAGATCCTCTAACCTTGTTCCAATTTAGGTGGTGAAAGCAAAATTTTTATTTTTTAACAGGTGTTATAATTAAACTTCGAAATCTTAAGGTGTTAAAAACAAAATTAGGTCTTTTAACAGGTGTTTTTTTCTAATTTAGCCTTTTTATTATGTTAAATTTAATTGCTTTGATTAGTTTAATTTTATTATGTGCGAGTAGTTTAATTCTAGGGTAGGGTTCTTGGGGGATCCATAATTAATATGAAGAGATGAATTATTTTGGTTGATTATTGATATTGCATAATAATTTCTTATTGGATTGTTCTAATTCTTTACAATTAGATTTGAATCGAGCAGATGTGATTTGATTATAAAAGTATAGCAATATTGAATCGATGAATCGAGCAGATGTAAATTTGATACTAAAGGTTATTTTCAATAGGAACTTAGATCTAGTAAATTGCGAAAGCCTGTTAGATCTATGTTGATTAATAAATTGCGAGAGCCTGTTGATCATGTTATTTCTGCAATATTAATTGTTGATTGTTATATTTTTATCCCGGAGTATTAATTATTGGTGAACCTGTGACCATAGGCTTTTTATTATTGGTTATTCCCTTAGATTAATTTCATACAACCCTTATTTGCTTCTTGATGATTTATATTATTTTAATTAATTACGAATAGAAGAACGTTGTTTTCTTGTGGATTCGACTCTACTTCCCTATCTATTTTAATTAGTGGTTTTAGGAATTACTTTTGATTAGGTGATACGACTTTAGCCTATAAATAAGCACGATCAAGAGAGGGTAATGGATCCCGAGACAAAATGTTAGTACGGATTTGTGAAAAATAATCAAAGTGTAGCCCCATTAGAAACTCATGAGGCCGAGTATTCTCACGACGTTGTTGATGCTCTGAATTGACTGTACACTTATCACAGCAAGAGCAAGTAATCAATGGCTCGTGATTATTCAATTCCTCTCATAAGGAAATTAATTTGCTGAAGTATGTCGCAACAGACATAGCTTTCGGTTGTTCACATTTAGCTATTGCAGACTTCAATTGTTTAATTCTTGGACCATTCACAGTGGCAAAACGCATCTTGAGAGTATCCCATAGGCGCTTTGCATCTTTGTATTCTAACAGAGTGCTTTTTACCTCAGGATCGATTGTGTTCATGAGACATGAGATAAGCATAGCATGAATTGTATTCCAATCGGTCTGATTACATGGAAGAGATAATGAGGTAATTGTTTCGTCAAGAAAACACGAATTTTCAACGTGCCTCCAATGCAGTTTGAATATCTCCGGCCCATTCATCATAGTTTTCTCCACAAAGTCGAGTCAAGGTAATGAAATCTCCGGGACGGTCGTGAGGACCAAAGTAGTATGGAGATGTAATGTCTATGCGCGATGGATGAGATGACGGTGTGTCATCACCGACCATGTTTATGGTTTATGTGGTTTTATTTTTCTTGAGTGACTGATACCATGTAGAAATTGTCAAGGGCTCAAATCTTATCGTTCATCTCATTCATTGATAAATATATAGCGTACAATTGATTCCCAAAAGATACGGGATAAAATCAAAAAGATACACAAGATAATATCTTGTAAACATTCATTGATAAATATATAGCGTACAATTGATTCCCAATAAATACGGGATAAAATAAAAAAGATACACAAGATAATATCTTGTAAACAATTGTAGCTATAAAATAGGAAATTACCATAACTGAATTATATGATAAATATGTGAGAAATATCCTCCTAATATTCCCAACAAGGTTCATTGTAAATATTAAAAATCGATGAAGCATATTTGAAACCTAAAATTTGTTAGTTATTTGTTTTTTTTTTAATATAATTTGATATTTTTAAAATATGATTTATATTTATTATATATTTAGGGGAAGTTATGTATACACAGTATTTGGATGCGAGAATGATAGTGGAAATTATGATGATAAGTGATAGTATGCTGAAATAACTAGGGCTTTTAGCACGCGCTATACGCGCGAGTTGGCTAGCCCATAGCTTTGAGAAGAATTATACCCTTTACCCTATGCTTGTTTGAGTAGTATTTTATTAAAACAATTTCCATATAGATGATAAATGTGTTGGATGTTGTATAGTGTTATGCATTGTTAAAAACTTTAGTTGAGCTACTTTAATTTAGTGACTAAACGGTAAAATGATATTGAGTTCGATCTAGAAATATAAATGTCTAATAAATTCTAATTAGGAAATTAAAACAAAAAGAAATGGAGAGAGGGTAAAAGATGGCTTTAAATATTGTAATTAAACATAACTTTATAAATCAATTTAGGGAATTCAAGCGATATTTTTAAGGTTTTTGAATTCAAATGGGGGCAAATATGTAAAATAACTTTTTAGGGATATAATTGTGCATGCACAATTCAAAGGAGTTTTGTTACACATTTTATAAGTGATGATAAATAGATATTATATTTATGATAATATTTGTCGTAGATTAGGATAGATTTTGTGTACATTTTTTATCCTTATCGTACTAGGTTTCTTAACGTGATTAAGACTAGTATTGTAAACTCTATATATATTGATCAATGGTATACACTCCAATTTGAGGAGTTTTCTTGAAATCTAACATGGTATATAACGACTTAGGTTTTAGATCTCAAATTTTTTATTTTATTTCCAATTATTGGTGTAATTTTTTTTGTTTTTTTTGGATGGCTAAGGACTCCGACTCTCCGCCGCCTCCATCTCTTCTGACCCATCAACGGAATATCACCAGGCTCTTTCTGTTAATAATATCAAGAATGCAATCTCATTGATTCTTGATCGAGAAAAAGTTCAATACTCAAACAAGAATGCTCTTAATGACCCTTACTAGAATGTGGCGATGCAAGATGAGTATGATGCTCTAATTATAAACAGGGACTTGGGATTTGGTACCTAGGACTACGGGGTGATTATTGTTAATAGTGTATGGTTGTTTAAACACAAATAAAAGTCTAATGGTGACCTTGAAAGACATAAAACTCATCTTGTTTGTAATGGCAGGTCACAAGAAGTTGGTGTGGGATGTGATGAGACTTTTAGTTCGGTAGTTGAACCGGCCACTATTGTACTGTTCTCAGTTTAGATCTGGCTAAAAAGTGGTCGATTTCATCAATTAGATGTCAAAAATGTCTTTCTACATAGTATTTTACAGGCAACTGTATATATGCATCAACCTTTAGGTTTTGTTGATCGGAGTGCACCCACTTATGTATGTCGACTTTGTAAGGCTCTATATGAATTGAGGCAAGCTCCTCGAGCTTGGTACCAGCGTTTTGCGAAATATTTGGTCAGATTGGGTTTTATCATTGCTAAAAGTGACAACACTCTCTTTACCTTTCGACAAGGTGATGATATGGCATATTTGCTCCTTTATGTTGATGATATTATATTAGCTACCTCTTCTGATAGGTTGTGTGGGGGGATCATATCTCAACTGCAAACTGAGTTTCCTATGTTTGATTTTGGCCCTCTGATTTATTTTTTAGGCATTGCGGTGACTCGTACTCCTTCCTATTTGCTACTATCCCAACAAAAATATACACAGGAGATTTTAGAGAATGCAGGTATGGGCTCTTGTAAACCTGCAGCTACTCCGGTTGACACTAAGTCCAAACTTAGTTTAAATTCAGGACCACCTTTTCGGGATCCTACTTTGTATCGCAATTTAGTAGGTGCTCTTCAGTACCTTACTTTTATAAGACCTGATATTCCCTATGCGGTGTAACAGGTGTGTCTTTTTATGCATGATCCCCGAGAATCTCATTATGATGCTTTGAAGCGCATTCTACGCTAAATTTAGGGTACCATTTATCATGGTTTATTTACACTTATATCCGTTTGCACCTACTCGATTGATTACTTATATTGACACTATAAACGCAAAAAAATGTCTCCCCGACCAAAGCCCGATGATGAAATAACCTCTCATTGCCTAATGTGGTCCACTTCGAGTAATGGATCTAAGAATTATTTGAATAGTTTTTTTGTTCTAGCCCAAAATTATTTTTAAAGCCATTTTATCCCTTTCGTTAGCCCAAACTTAGCCCATTTTCTTTTTTCCAACTCCAATCCCAAACCGGTCAAAACTGAATTTTGTGCCTCATAATATTTAACCAAATCTTAGATGATTGAGTAACCCTTGAAATAATATTTTCAATGATATATCATAAGCCCAAATCTATTTGGAAACGAAAAAGATATGATTAAAATACAAACTCTATCTAAAACTGACACCGTTCCACTATTTCAATCATATCTCAAACTATACAAAAGATATCAATATGATTCTAATTGGGTTAGAAATTAGACTTCCAGAGCTTTTCAACAATATATTTTTTATCTTATTCTGATTTCTTAATAAAAAGTTATGATAAAAACAAAAACCGCAAAACAACTGTCCCTCATTACGCGTTTTCGAAAATCTATCTTCTTTCAAAGATCTATCTTCACCCGATTTTAAGTCTATAAATACCTCTATTTCGGGTGTTTTTAGTCCCTCGGGAGAGTTATAATACTGGTATGAGCGCCTGACTTCTGTACCTGCAAAACCACGAAACTCCAGTTGGGTGGAGTTCCGCCTCCGAAGATCAAGTTAGTATGATTCCGGATGAGTAAGCGTGCGGAAAGTAAAATGGGCGTTTCTCTCTGATTCAGGGAGATTCCGCAATTAATATTTCTTAGGATTTGTGTATGTATTTATGAATATCAATAAATGAGGATGATTCCCCTATTTATAGCATATGAGAATCTTCTCCCCCATTGGGGGTTAAATGCCACGTGGCATCCTCTGATTGGATCCCTTTGGGCCTGTATGAGGGTGACACGTGTCAGGCCCTTATTAGACCACAAGGTAGGGGTAATTCTTACCCTAAACATTTGCCCCTCACAGGTGCGACGTGGCTTGCCACGTGGAACCTGTGACACTTGTCACCATGCGGGAGGGCGACGGTTCGCCTCCTTCCCTCTATTTTTTCAAATTTCAAACTGAAGGGGGGGGGGGAGGTGACGGTTCACTTTCTGGAACTTCCTATAAATAGGAACCTCCTTCCTCTCATTCCTCACTTTGCCAATCTTGAGAGAGAGATTCTTTGAGAGAAAAAGAGAGCTCCTAATCCCGTCTGCTTGCTATTGCAAACAACCTTCATCTTCAATACATCCGGGTACCGGTTGAGTATTTCTTTGCCCGTCTCACTAAGGTATCCTTCTGACCTTGTCAGTTTCTTCATCTTGATTTTTGTTAAAGTTGCAGCCGGTCTCATGCCGTCTGGAGCTTCTTTAAGCAATCTCATGATGAATTGCATCCAGTAGGCCCTCAGCCGGTTTACACCGTCTAGGGTATCTTCAAGCAATCTCATGGTGAGTTGCGTTCAATAGACCCTCAGCCAGTTTACACCGTCTGGGGTATCTTCAAGCAATCTCATGGTGAGTTGCATTCAATAGACCCTTATCCGGTTTACACCGTCTGGGGTATCTTCAATAAAAATTTTCTTTTGAACTGCTTTGCTGACACCCCAGCTGGTCTTATACCGTCTGGGGTATCTTTGAATCAGCCTCTTGATTTATCGTTTTAACGGATGCGCAGTCGGATTTTGCCGCTTGAGGTAGCTCCGTACAATTTTCTTCATTAGTTGCCTATAATAGTCCTCAGCCGGTTTATACCGTCTAGGGGGTCTTTGGACAACCTTTCATAAAAACTCCAAACTACTTATTCTGTATAACTACCACAGTCGGTCTCTTCCGCCTGTGGTATCTTTGGGAAACATTGGTAATTAACCTTGCTTTCTTTTGCTAATTTGCAGTCTGTTCAAAGTGATACCGTCTAGGGTATCTTTGGGCAACAATCTCCAACTTCTTTCACCAATCTCTTCTTTCAACTACAAGGTAACGCCTCTGTTCCTTTCTTTTTTAGAGGTTCTTAAATTTTCCTGGCTGTACATATTGTTAGAATAATGGGCTCACCCAACACACACACGACACACCACGATTTAGAGGTCAGTCGGTATCCTGGTACGGCTCAGTCTAGGACCGGGGTGCCGCCTTTGGGTACTGAGACTCTCCTTGTTCGTCTCCAAAACCGGCCGTCTTTGTCTCTGTGCAGGACGCAATGGCTCGAACTAGGAAAACAACCGTTGATCTAGAGTACATAGGGGAAACCTCTAGAATTGCCGCCTGACTCTAATCAGGCTGAGATGACAAGGGGATCTCTGCATGGCACCCTAAGCACTCCCAGTGATGGAATATTGGGGTTGGGTCAGGAAAGCGGTGAAGATGCCGCCTCTCCATCCAGGGTTGAAGAGGAAAACCCCTCAGAGAACGCGAGCGGTGGAGAGACCGACTCCTCATCCGGTTCAGAGCAAAGCGGCAACAGCAGCAGCCTTCTTATACCGGATGCGGATAGCAAAGAGGAGGAGAGGCCCACATGGAACAATAAGGGCGACCCTTTCCTTATCGCCGTCTCTGCAAAAGATAGAGCCAACATGGCCAGAAACTTAGAGGATTTCGTCAAAATACGTCCTCTTGGAAAAAATTGGAGAATAATCGTGCCGCCTGAGATGGGCACTATAGTCTGGGAAGACAATCAGCCGAATTCAGACGGGTATTTCGGCTGTTATGAGGCGGCGTTCCTAGCCGTTCTCCGCTTCCCTTTGCACAACACCATCAAGGCCATTCTTAGAGGGTATGGTCTGGGTATTTGGCAGTTAACCCCTAATTCCTGGGTTAACATTTTAGGCTACATTTCCGCCTGCGAAATGTAGAACATTAACCCCGGCTGTGAGGCCTTTGCCCATATGCATTATTTGAGTCGGAGCCCATGCAGGTGGAGAGCCTGGTATACACTGACCACTTACCCTCAGTATCTGATGACCTTGGACAAGCCGTCCAAGTGGTCAGACTGGAAGAATCGGTTTTATCTGGTTTCTGCTCCCACCAAGGAAGAAAACCGGGAGTATAGGACAAACAACCGGAAGCCAGACCTCCTAGGTCACAAATGTAAAAAGCCTCGAGTCCTGGATGAGGACTACGAGAGAATAATTGAGGCGGGGTTTTTTGAACAAACCACAACCACCCTCTCTAATGGAGAGTCAATAAGCGTACCCAAGAATTAGGTACCTAAGCACGAATTCCTTCGTGATGAGGCGTTCTTGTCCGCTTGTAAACTTAGCTCTCAGTTTAAAAAACGTAGGTCACACTAGTGCTTGATCCCGTTTTGCCGTTTGTACATGTTATGCTTTCTCAACTCTCTTCTAACCGGATGGGTTATTTTTTGCAGTGCAAGCCTTAGCCATGTTGCCAGCAGAAAAAACACAAGCTAAATCTGCCAAAGAAATCCGCAAAGAAAATGCGGAGAAGAAACTTGCCGCCCAGGCGGCAAAAAATAAGGTATACTATTTCCTTTCCTTTTCCCTTTTCAACTTCCATTTGACTTTTTTGCCGGCTGACATTTGTACTTTTGCTTTTCCAAGATGGGAGCAAGGCACCCCGCTCCCTTACCAAGCTAATCAGGCCCCGGCCGGGGAGGAGCCTTCCTCCCAAATAGTTTCCAGCCGGCTAACGGTTGGTGGGAAGTCTGTCAAAAACACAGGCCTGTGAATTGATCTTACTTCCAGGCAGCCGGACGTCCTAGAGGCTTTCAAGGAGGCAGCGGCGCCTAGGGCGTCCGGCGCCTCTGTACCGGCTGAGGGCAGTTATAACCCTCGCCCAATCTCTCAAGGTATAATAAATCCCTTCAACCCTTCTTTACTTGGCAAGCCTATGCGGGTCAAGTCACATTCCCAGCTCCAGCTAGAAGACTCTTCTGGCAGTCGTCAGTCAATAGGAGGGAAGTATGTTGCTTTCTCACCATCTCTTTCTGGTGCAGATCTCTCCCCTCGCTGGCCAGATGTATAGCAGTATGCCCAGGCCATGCTAAAGGCCGTCCCCAAAGATGAGAAGGAGCCGATCCCAGGGATCAACACCTTCAATGTCGACCGGGTCATGGCCGGCCTGGCTTAGGTATGAATTCAATCAACTGAATATTTTCAAGTTATTATGCCGTCTGATCCCTTTTAACACCGCTTGGGCCTTTGCAGTCGATGCTTCGCATGGAGGGGCTCAAGAAAGCTTATGCCCGCAAGTGTGAGGAGGTAAGACAGGCAAAACAGGATGCGTCCGATGCTCATAACGTTGCCCAATATTCCGTGATTATGCATGAATTGAAAACTAAAAGCATAATCATGCAACAGGCGGACTCCATCAAGACGCTCCAGAAATCTCTCAATGAGGCCAACATAAAGCTCCACAATCTCCAGGCGGAGAAGGAGAATGCTAAGGCGGAGGTGAAGAAGGCGGCAGATTCAGTCAAACTCCTGAAGCTAACCAGGAAGGAGAATACGTCGTTGATGACTGCTAACGTCCGCCTGATGAAGGAGGCGGCTGCGGCCAGTCAAAACTTCCAAACCACCCTGGAAGCAGAACAAAGCCGGCTCATTGAAGAGAATGAGCAAGACTGCGCCAATCGAATGCAATTGGCTTGGTCCCTGGTGCATCCGGAAACGGAATATTCCGTCTGGGAACTTGCCTACAAATACGCTAATCTTGCCATTGAGGCATAAGAATCGAACCAGCCGGCTCCGGAGCCTTATGAGGAGTGGGCCAAGAAGCAGATCGAAGCCATGCAGGCGGAGATCGACACAGACGGAGGAGAGGAGCATGATGAGAATCAAGAGATTGTCCCTCCTGCTTTGG